GTCGACTCATGCACCAACATAAGTCGACTTACCATAAGTCGACTTATGCCTGTGCATGAGTCGACTTATGACCAAAAATCTGCTTTTTCAATTCTTCTCCACAAATAAATCTAATCTCCTCTAATTCAAGAGGTGAATATGCAATTACCTCTCTGAAATCCATACTTTATAACTAACAAGGCGATCGGATTCTTTCCACTGAAATCGAACAGTGGATATATCACAGTTATCACTTTCTGCATGGTGATTTCTATCATTTAACATATAGGATAAATTCCACATAACCCTCCCATCTATATTTTCATCAGCATTTAACACTCCTCAGTTAAACATTTTAACATTTATAGACCCTTAAATTGATTGGAGGAAGAGTGGTGTTATGTGTAGTTTCCTTCTCAAATAACAATCCAGTAGTGCCAAGTGTTTGCATGATTGCTTGATCTGAGTTGGTAACTTTTGTATACAGTAAAAACAATATATGGTTAGTTATATATGTTCAGAGGGATCACGAGCAGCTGCAAAGGTTTCCTCATTTGGCTTATACAGATGGAGGTATGTGGAATTTATATAAGAAATATCTCTTTCACAAGCTTATATTTATTGCCTCATGTGGCATTCAACACTAGTCAAAGTTAGAGAGAGGTAAATGGAGAGAGAAAGAGGGAGACACGGAGAGAGAGAGAGAGAGAGAGAGAGAGCAGATTGAGTCATAATGAGGACTGGCCTTGTCTTTTGCCTGCTCCTTATTTAATGTCTTTTGGCAATACTAAGAAAGGGAAATGGAAGAAGGGAGAGAAGAGATGCTTCCATGCAAACTTATGATCATCTTCTTGATAAGTACTTATGCAAAGGGATTTTAATTTTTTTAACATATCCTTGTACCAGATTTTTATAGTTTTTAAGATGAAATGATCACTAACTCCTCCTTTTACAGAATTGCTGAACTCCCTTACATTCCCATCTACATTGTCAATTCACCTACCATCCCGTTTATATCGTGTTTACGATCCAATTTGGTGATTCAGTGAGGCCGGCCACCACATATATTTAGCAGATTAATGATGTGACAACGTCTTTTTACATCTCTTCCATGTTTTGTAAATCTAGAAAATAAGTTTTCAATTTCAAGAAAAATATAAGCTCCAGAAAGTTAAGGGATTGTTTTTTTTCAAAATTATTAGTTATGAGGTTATCTCATAAATGACCAAAGTTGAAGGAGTTCTGTCAAACTTACCTTTATAAAACGATTACCTTTTTTGCATTTAAGAAATATTTTTTTTTAAAGAAAACAAAAGAAATATTTTAAGCCAGTAAAATCTCTTTCAGACTTTCAAGTGTAGTAAGATGGAATAAATTGAACTTTTACGTCTCTTCTACCTTGAGCACGCGAGTCTGTTGTGATGTCGAAGACAAACTAGGATTATTTGTTCCTTTTCATGTGTATATAGTATGGTACATGTATTTTATGTCAAATTCGTAGTATACTGATCACACGAGAGCACAAAAAATATCGCGAAGACAAAACATACATTTAACATGGTTAGGCATATAACCTATGTTAAGGGTTTAACTTTAGTACTGTCAAATTGTGGGGAGTACAATATTAAAGATTTCTGAATCACTAATCCCAAATTACCCCCCAAAAGTTGAATACAATCTCTCCGAAAAGATGAAGAAAAAGAAATGTCATATCTAATGGTATCTTAGTCATTTTTCTGCATGTAATTTGTGTTGGGGAATTTCAGTCTCCCCGCCTACCACGATATGCGCAACTCGGAAGTCAACCCTAATCAATAAGATAGAACAACCACAATCAAGAAAAAAAAACACCGAGATTTACGTGGTTTGGTCGACCAACTTCGACCTACGTCCACGGGGCAACAATACGAGAAATTCACTATGTATCAGGGAGAACTACAAGGGGACCAACTCAACTCTCGTCTCTCAATCTCTCAACCTCACATACATAATCAACTCTCATATTCTCTCTAAAGCCCACTCCTTGTAATCTTTTGCACGGATAAAGACTACGAAACCCTCTCTCTCTCATCTACTACATCTCTACTTTTTCTTCATAGTTTTTCCTCCACCAATAAAAGAATATATATAGGAAAACCAAAATTTTATCTCTAGCCTAACTTCCTAATTAGAATAGGATTCAAACTCCTAATCATGATAAAACTCAAACTCTTAATCATGATAGAACTCAAACTCCTAATCATGATAGAACTCTAACCCTATCTAATTCTCATGAAGTTACCTGATAGAACTCTAACCCTATCTAATTCTCATGAAGTTACACAAAGAATCAAAGACAAAATCCCAATAATCTCCACCTTGGATTTGATTCTTAATTCTCATGAAGTTACACAAAGAATCAAAGACAAAATCCCAATAATCTCCACCTTGGATTTGATTCCTAAACTCCCTTGAAGATATACCATCGTCGTCTTGAAACTTTGCCTCTCTCGCTAGAGTCTTCTATTTCGCACTTCAAATCAGAACACCTGCACTCCCAATTGGATGCCTTCATGATCCTCACTATCTTCTGCTTAGTCGTGATGCCTCCACCTCTCGTGTTGTCCTTGTGCTCCACCTGCATCTCTCGTCTCGAATCATATCGGTGCACCTCTCCTACTCTACACTACGAGCCGGATGCCTCTATCTCCTCCATTACTTGGCTTGGACTGAATATGAGCGCTCACCATCTTCAAGTCCAACGCCACCATCTTCATCTCCATGTGTCTCACTCGGTCGTGCTCGCTTACAAGCTCCACCTAATCTGGTACCGTCCTTCTCAAGTATACACACCAACCAACTCCTGCTCCTTATCTACCATCAGATTTGTCTTGCCGTTAAATAGCGGAATATCAAACTTCGGACCCGAAGAAGTCATCATTCTCTAATAAAAATTCAAATCAGTCACCGTAAAGTTTGAATTTGATGAAACAGATGCTAAAAACGAACTCAGCACGTCGAAAAACTCTAGGAACGACTCCTGGATCACCAAAATCCGCCTCCAAATCCTCAATCGGCTAACAAATCAATCTGGACCGTCGGATCCCCACGTGAACAGTACCTGCTGTGCTACAGTGTTTTGCTACAGTACCACCGCTACCGCATTTTTCTTTTTTCTTTTTATCTTGATTCTTGTAACGTTGATTTTCAATCTTACACGACGTCGTCTTCTAACTTGCAAACTCGCTCCCGGATCCATAACCATCGCTCTGATACCACTTGTTGGGGAATTTTAGTCTCCCCGCCTACCACGATATGCGCAACTCAGAAGCCAACCCCAATAATTAAGATAGAACAACCATAATCAAGAAAAATGAATATCGAGATTTACGTGGTTCGGTTGACCAACTTCGACCTACGTCCACGGGGAAACAATGCGAGAAATCCACTATGTATCAGGAAGAACTATAAGAGGAACCACTTAACTCTCGTCTCTCAATCTCTCAACCTCACATACATAATCAACTCTCATATTCTCTCCAAAGCCCACTCTTTGTAATCTTTTGCACGGATAAAGACTACGAAACTCCCTCTCTCTCTCATCTACTATATCTCTATTTTTTCTTTATAGTTTTTCCTCCACCAATAGAAGAATATATATAGGGAAACCAAAACTCTATCTCTAGCCTAACTTCCTAATTAGAATAGGATTCAAACTCCTAATCATGATAAAACCCAAACTCCTAATCATGATAGAACTCAAACTCCTAATCATGACAGAACTCTAATCCTATCTAATTCTCATAAAGTTAGACAAAGAATCAAAGACAAAATCCCAACAATTTGTTCGTGAGATGTCAGTGTTAGTTTTTTAAAAAAAAATTGGCGGAATTACTGGTATGTTAAGTGATATTTTTCAAAGTTGTTGAGGGTTATCTCAAAAACGCTCAAGCTTCATGGGGATGTTCTTAAATTACCCCTAATTATAAGCGAGGAATTGGCTAAAAACATCACGATGGGGTACCAAATCTAAAGTCCAACCCAAGTTGCATCTTTATCCAAAAAGAACTAAATGAAAAGAAAAAGAAAAAGAAAAGATATGATATGTGGGAAAAAAAAATCTTATTCAAAATTTATTGTTTATGATCATTAGCTTATAGCGAGCTTATAGTAACCAACCAGAGATTCTTGTCTGCTGAAAGGAGTCTAGGAGATGGTATCAACTTCGAGAAAGCTTTGAAATGTATCTAAAGATTTTGTCCACATTAAATCAAAAAATAAAAATAATTTGTCCATAACTAGTTAAAAGGATGCGGACTTGATTCGAATCGGACGAAGGGTTAAAATTTGAATGAAGTTTGGATTGAGAAAAGCCAACCAGACATGGGAATAGCTAGATTGAATAAGTTTGAGTCAATTTGAATTAATCCTAATTTCCAAGAGTTTGTTGCGTCTGAATGGTTTTCTAACACAAATTAGAGTTATGTCTGGTAATATATTTTTTATAGTAAAGGTACGGTTTGAAGAAACAAGAGATACAAATAACATAAATACCCTCACGCAATAAAGAAAAGAAAGTGACAATTACAATGGTGAATATTAGTAGAAGAGTGCTTGAGGTTTATATTTTAGAGCTTCCTTGAGTAGTTAGGATTTTTCTACCCCTAACCAAAGGAACGTTGAGAGTTGTAATCATAAGCCTCTTTTAATTAGACTTGTGCGATGAGAAATCATTAACGTAAGCATCGCGAAGTTTAAGATTTGAGGAAGAAAAATCCAAAATTTGAGATTTGGAGAGCATTTTATAATAAAAATATATATAGGAGATCGATTTTGAGGGTAATTTAGTAAATATTGATGATTTGGGGGATGCAGCACAAAAACACCGTTAGCTAATGCAAGCAGCAGTTACTTTACCCTTTGAAGTACTATCCTCGAGTTTTCATGATGTGTAGGGTCACACGGTGGTCACGAGAATCCCTAGCTTTGCTTCTATTTGTTTGGTTGTCATTCCCTACATCAGGGAAAATAGCCTCTTGCTCCTCGCTACACACTTCTCTTTGATCACCCCTTGCTCCTTGGCCTTTCAAGTACCTCTCTCTCTCTCTCACACATATATTAGTCCTCCATTCTTTTATCTCATTAGTGCTCCATTCTTTGACCTCCACAAAATTCCCTCCTAATTAATATGACTCCACTAGAGGGAGATCATGATCCAAGCCACTTCCATCCCTTCACTCTACAAACTCATGATCCAACTTCTTCAATCCCATATTCTTTTTTCCTTAACACCCAACAAGTGATCCAAGAAGCAAATGGTGCGCATAATCTCCTCCATCATCATCAACAAAAACAAGAGGTAAGACAGTCTTTCGCAAAAGATATGTACATGAACCCTATCATATTGCTTCCATGCTGCATAAGTATATATATATGATCCCACATCATATCTCTCTCGAAAAAAAATGAACCTAGACATCATGTGAAGTGTAGCAAACCTAGTAATTATCCATGATCACCAAAATGTTCATTTATTGCAGTTCATTGATCAAGTGATGAATATCCAAGGATCAAGCAATTTCACGGTTTCGTTCTCCACCAACACAACCAATAGTATTGACGACATCGTCAAAGATGAGAAGAAATCAAGCAAGTGGATGTCTTCAAAGAGGAGGCTCATGAGAAAAATGATGAACCCAGATGGTATTATTACCAAAAAACCAAGAAGAAGCAGACACCTTCTTCAAGATCAGCAACATCATGAGCAATTAGCTCAGGAAAGCAGCAGTAGCAACACCAATAACAGCTCTTCAAGTGATGGTGTAGTTAGAGTCTGCTCAGATTGCAACACAACAAAGACTCCTCTGTGGAGGAGCGGTCCTTCTGGCCCTAAGGTACCCACTTCTTTTTATTTTTCTAGACTTTTATTTTTATTTTTATTTCCCTTCCTAAATTTGTGATCATTTCCCTGCTTGCAGTCTGGTGAAAAAATTATAGCATCTTAGATTGATCCTAGTCATGAAAGTAAAAACACTTAAGAGTGTTACCAAACTGACTGCAACCTTTACATGTCAGTGAAATGATCATAAATTTGTATTTTTAACTTATAACAGGCCATCAATTCAAGTTATGTAAACCACAATATAAATTATTTAATTATCATCTATTCTGCATCATATCTAGCACATATATAATTTGATCCACACCAAAGAAGCAGCTGTCACTCGACTATTATCAGACTGCAGTAATTCTAAATTCGAAGTGTTATATTTCCAATAACACAGATTAATTCAAATGTATGTATCTCTACCAATTACTAGTCTATTTGATCCAGACAGAAAAGTAATATATCAATCTGCTATTATGATCTTTTTTAATTAAGTACTATGTTTAAGAAATAGAGATGATCAGGATTGATTATTATCAAGCTGACTAGTTCATCTCCTTGTAGTCTCTATGCAACGCATGCGGAATAAGGCAAAGAAAAGCCCGACGGGCCTTAGCAGCAGCGGCAGCAGTGAGCAGCGGGCTGATCCCTTTGGCTTCACGGGCCAAAGACCGAAAATCTGATCACAAGGAATATTCTGAATCTGATCGTAATGTTCCATTCAAGAAGAGGTGCAGGTTCTCTACAGCTGGAGGAGATTCTGCTCAGAAGCAGATCAAAAAGAAGAAGGAGAAGCGATCCTTTGATGATATTGTGATCAGTCTCAGCAAGAGTTCAGCTTTCCATAGAGTTTTCCCTCAGGATGAGAAGGATGCGGCTATTTTGCTCATGGCTTTGTCTTGTGGGCTTGTCTGCAGCTGATCATAAGATGATCATACTAATTTGTTTTTCTTTTGTTTTGTCTTTGAGTTTGAGTAATATGTTTTGTGTTTTGATTAGTTAAGTTGAGAATAAGTTTAGGTTGAAGAGTTGATGAAGGTGAGTTTTATGTGTTTTTGTGTGTGCGTATGTGAGTTGCTACCATGTTCATCATGGAGTTGAGTGTGTGGAGGTAACGTCGCATTTTGTTTAATTAAGATATTTCACCTCTTATAATATTGCGTCCATGATTCTAATTGTTTTTATTACAATATTTTTTTTGAGATTATTATCGTTAAAAGTTTTTTTTTATTAAGTCAAAACTCTATAAGTTACGGTGAAGAAGGTTGAGTGTTATAATTTCATACTCTAATACGCACGTCTCCGCATGTTGAGCTCACCTGTTATAGCTAGAAACTAAACTCACGCAAAAAACTATTATACTACAAAATTTAGCAATAACTTATATAGTCTTTTTTTATGTTCGGCGAAAGATCAAAAATCAAATTCTATCAATGCCAACTAATGGGGAATATCCAAAAAAAAAGTGCTAGTATAACATATTTTTAAGGTAGAAGTCACTAATTCCTAAATATATATTCTAATAAACAACATACAAATATACATTAATATTAAGGGTAAATTACATTAAACCCCCAAGATCTTTCAATGTTTTGCAGCAAACCCCCCAACAACTTCTAAAATTGCATCAAAATCCTAATAACTATTGGAATTGCAGAAAGCCCCTAATAAGTTTATGGTTTTGTAGATAACCCATAATGGTGTCAGCCCATATTTAGAATCTAAATGTGTCACCAATGCAAAATGTGGACTAACGACATTTTGAGGGTTATTTGCAAAACATAGAAACTTATTAGGGGTTTCATTAATTCTAATAGTTATTGGAGGTTTAATGCAATTCGAAAAGTTCTTGGAGGATGATCTGATTTCAGTACAAAAACTTCAACAATGTTTACAGGAGTTTAGTTCTGCTACTGGCCTATGTGCAAATCCAGATAAATGCTAGGTATTCTTTGGTGGGGTAAATGAAGTTACTAAAGTTTCTATAAATGAATACTTGGGTTATGCTGTGGGTTCCTTGCCGATCAGATATTTGGGGATGCCACTTGTTTGCGAAAGACTCTCATACTTAGACTGCAATCCACTTCTCAGTAAAATCAGTAACCAATTTCAGACATGGACCAAGGCAAAAAATCTCTCTTATGCAGGGAAAATACATGTCATTAAAAGTGTAATCTTAGGTGTTCAGATATAGTGGACATCTTGCTATATCCTACCTGTTGGTGTGCTACAGAAAATAGATGATATGTGCAGAAACTTCCTCTGAGGTAGAGCAAATCATATTCATAAACCTTCTTTAGTAGCTTGGGAAAAGATTTATTGTAGTAAAAAATTTGGTGGTTTGGGCATTTTCTCTGCTCGATTATGGAACTTTGCTTCGGCTTTAAATAACATCTGGGATATTCATATGAACAAAGAACTTCTTTGGATAAAGTGGATACATGGCAAATACTTGAAGAACAGAGATATATGACATGTTAATACTAAATCTGGGGATTCTTGGCTTTGGAGACAATTGATAAAAAACAGAGATAGAGCATTGGTCTTAGCTAGTGGAATCGACAACTTAAAACAAATTATTGGTTCATGCTACAAAAATTCAAAAGTTAAGATTTCGGCTCTGTATGAAGATTTTGTTCCTTCCACCCCTCCAGTTCCATAGTATAATACAGTTTGGGAGAGGATGAATTATCCCAAGCACTCGATCATTTGTTGGCTTGCTGTTCAAAATAGATTACTGACACAAGACAGGTTAATGAAGATGGGTGTCATACAATCAAACAGCTGCTGTTTGTGCTTTGGTGCAGGTCCTGAGAATCGAGATCATTTATTTTTTGATTGTGAGTATTCTCAGAATATCTGGAATAGGATTATAAGTTGGCTCAATTTTAGATGGAGATCATGTAGTTGGAGCTATCTTTTGAATTGGTTCAACAACTGTCTAAGAGGCAAGGGATTTAAGAATGGAATCAAAAGGATGGCTTTCTCGGCAACTTTATACAAAATATGGTGTGAGAGGAAAGCCAGAATTTTCTTACAGAAATCAAAGAGGATTGAGTAGCTGGTAAATGAGATCAAGGTGGACATTTTGATCTTAGTCCTCAATGGTTCTATAAAACCTGAAGATAGAGAATCGATTAACTCTTTGTAGACATTTGATTTGTTTGTGGGGTATTATCCCTAGTTTCAGTAATTGTTTTAGATTTCTCAACTCTTTGTAGACATTTGATTTGTTTGTGGGGTATTATCCCTAGTTTCAGTAATTGTTTTAGATTTCTCAATTTGTGAGAATCAGGATGTATATAACTTTCGTATTATCCCTAGTTTCAGTAATTGTTTTAGATTTCTCAATTTGTGAGAATCAGGATGTATATAACTTTCAAATTTGGTTTGAATGAATAAAATTTTCATTGACCCAAAAAAAAAAGAAAAGTTCTTGGAGGTTTATTGCAAAACATTGAATGTTCTTTAATTTTAATAGTGTGATTTACCCTAATTAATTTAAAAAATCTATTTAGCCCATTTAAAATTTTTTATGCAGCTCTTCCAAAATACACGTCTATTGGATTTTTTTTCATAAAAACCACCTTAAAATAGGATAATCCTACAGAAACCACATTTGAATTTTAATTTATATACACAACCAACCTTTAAAGTGTGTTTATGTTGCAATAGGCCACTTGTCATTCAAATCTTCATTGAAAAAAATAAAAAATAACCTTAAAAAAAATTCATGCACGTTCAAGGTATGTAACGTATATCCTAACTAGACTTAAAAATTAACAAAATGAGTCATGTGCCTTGTATATGAGTTTCACAGAGTATTTTTTATTTTTGTGAAACTTTTTACTGAGAGGTGTTTGGTTGCAACACAAATTCACTTTATAGGTGGTTTGTGTATAAATTGAAATTCATAGGTGGTTCAAGGTAGAATGTCCTATTTCTAAGTTGGTTTCTAGGGAAAACCCTCCATTTTACTAACTAAATTTTTTGTATAAACATATTTCTTAATTAAAATTTTTTAAACATATTTATTACCTAAATTTTTGTATACACATATATATTAACTAAATTTTTATATGTATTCCACTTATTTACTTTAAGGAGATAGAAGACTGGCTAAAGTTTTTACAAATAATGGAAGAGAGAAGTTCTATATTTACATACCATATGATCTTGTAAATGTATGTTTCTATTCTATTGACACTCATGTCCATGTATAGATTCTCTCTTCCTCTAGCTCTCTCTAATTTGAGATCTACAAGTTTTAGGCCAGTGTTCGCACAGATTGATATGATTTATTTGACTTGTATATGTTGGTTTAAATTCTAATTTTGTTGTTCTAAATAGAATTTTGTCGAAATTCCTTCTTTTTTGGCTACTGCATATTTTTTTGTGTACTTGTGACCACACGAATAAGTATGGTTTAATCAAGTCACCTATTTCCTCTGCTCTCCTTGAAGCCAAATTAATTCACTAAATATTGTCCGTGTTGTTTAATCACATCCATTCTTCATAAGTTATACCCACTTCTTATAGCATGTGTGCTTAAATGAAACATGTGTATCTCACCCTTCATCTATATAAACTCCAATTGCCCTCCTCTTTCTGCAGGCCACAATTCTTATTTCCTTCCCCCTTTCCCACTACTACAAAACATAGCAGCCCCAACGGTTGTTTTATCAGCACCAATGGTTTCAACCGTTGGTGTCGATATTTTTTAAATTTAATTTTTAAAATATAAAAATTCCAGCACCAACGATTGAAACCGTTGGTGCTGATATGAGCACCAACGGTTTCAACCATTGGTGCAAATTCTAGCACCAACGGTTGAAACCGTTGGTGCACATATCAGCACCAACGGTTTCAACCGTTGGTGCTAACATTTGCACCAACGGTTAAAACCATTGATGCTGAAACATGCACAGGTCGTGCAACTTATCAACCTATTCACAACAATATTTACACACAATAATACAACCAAAAACATAAATATATCATAAAATAAATTCAAAATCCTAACACCATACGCAATTATAAGTCAAAACAAAAAATTTACTAAAATAAAATACGAGTAGTAATTTTTAGACAACTAAATCTCAAATATAAAGAGTATCCAAAATATAATGTCTCACATATCTAAAAAATAAAAGTCACTGCTGACTGACATGAAAAAAATCGACAAAAGCTTTACGGATGTCCTCCTCGCCATAGCCCTCTTGCGTTAAGCCCCTTAACAAGCCCCCCAATCGACTTGCAAGAGGATTTTGTGCTTAAATATCCTGAGGAGAATGTTGAGCAATAGAAGTAGAACCATGAGCATCCGAAGAAGGCTGAGTAGAAGTCGAACCCTGAGCATTCGGAGAAGGCTGAGCAGAAGCCGATTGAGTAGCCGGAACAACGGAAGATGGATGAGCGGTATGATGATCAACCTGTAAAGTATAACTAATGATATTTAGAGGACACGTTCAGATGAATCTCACACAAATCTATAATTTAATAAATGTATGCATGTATAAACCAATTCGAATTGAATTTATAGTCTGAAAAGAGAAAAAGAAAGACAACAAAATTTTATTTTACAGTACAAATATAAAGACCACAGAGTTCAACTTCGTGCTACTAACACTTAGAACACCTACCAGAATATCTAATAAAAGCTAGGTTGGAAGACCACAGATACAACTAACGTTTGGAACATATACCAAAAAATCCTACAAAAGATAGGTTGAAACTGCAGCTCTAGGTATCAAGTTGCTGCTGAGAAATTGTCAGCCACCTCTGCGACATTATGAGTTTGGGCAATGTTTTCCATGCCCAAGTTAATAGCCGCCTTGTGGAGCTTGAGACCTGATCTGCTAGTAGAGGAGCCTGCCCAAAATAAAACAAATCTTGCCACGTTAGCAGCGATGTGGGATGGAAGAGCTTCAATGCCATTAAAGATGAAATTGTTACGATAGTTCCATATGCACCAGCAGAAACACGGGAGTAAAACCTTCCAGATAATAGCAAGGTCTTGACCACAAGATGAACTAAAATTGGAAGATATCATATCCTCCAAATTTTGTGGCCAAGCTGTTGATGGAACTTAGGGAAGAAGAGAAGACCATACCAATGAGGAGTAACCACATTTAATGAACAGGTGGTCGTGGGATTCATTTGCATCATTATAGAGAGGGCAAATTGGATTGCCAGGCCATCCTTTGAACACCAGGTTATCCCTAGTATTTAATTTGTATTTACTAGTAATCCAAAAAAAGATTTTAACCTTTAGGGGTATGGGAGAAGCCCATATGAATCTGAAGTTCCGGGAGATGACTCCTCCTGAGGTGATAAGGGTATAGAAAGATTTAACTGTGTATGTACCTGAGGAATGATAGGGCCAGAGGAGCTTGTCATGGTTGGAGTGGCCAGAGATAGAGATTTGAGAAAGATGATTGAGGAGAGTGGAGATTTCGTCCCTTACTTCCTAGGAAATGCCTCTTCTTAATAGTGGGTGCCACTGCCAGGCATTAAGAAGCATAGATCCTTGTGAGAGAATATTACAGGTCTTGGAGAAAGCAAGGTGATGAGCTCTTGGGAATAGGCTACTGAGGGAATTGGCACCAGACCATTTGTCTTGCCAGAACCTACAAGTTTTACCATCCCCAATTATCCATCAAACGTGGCTGAAGAAGGGAAGGCAGATTGAATGCAAATCTTGGATGAATCTGGAGGCTGAGCCCTTAGGAGGATGGACCTGAGGATTTAATTTGCCTTTTGAGTACAAAGAGAAGATTACTTTGCTAACAAGGGAGTTATTATCCATTATCTTCCAGATCCACTTGGAAAGGAGGGCTAAGTTCAAGGAGGAAATGTCTTTGACCCCAAGACCTCCTTCTTTCTTGGCTTTACAAACTGTTTCCCAATTGATAAGGCACTTAATCTTGAAAGGTTGGTTCTGTCCACTCCAGAGGAAATTTCTTCTCAATCTGTCTATAGCTTTAGTAAGCCAAACAGGCAATTTAAGAAAATACATATAATATAAAGGAAGGGAAGAGAGTACTGAGTTGAGCAGAGTAAGTCTCCCGCCTAAAGATAGCGATTTATTCTTCCATAATGTCAGTTTTTTAGAGAAAGAGTCCAAAATGGGTTGCCAATCTCTTCTCGAAAGAGAGCTTTTCTTTAGAGGAAGGCCGAGGTAGGAAAACGGAAGAGATCCCACTGAACAGTTAAAAATACTTGCAAGACGAGCTCCCTTATAAGGAATTTTACCTAAGTAGAAGAGACTCGTTTTGGAGTGGTTAACTTTGAGACCTGATATGTTGGCAAAGATCAATAGAACTGCTTTGAGGGTAGCTATGTCTGATTGAGAGGCTTTTGAGAAAAAGATGGTGTCGTCAGCAAATTGCAACAGTCTGATATGATTTAATTCTCCTTTAAGGTTGAGACTAGAAAGATCTCCCGATTCTGCACTTTTGTTAAACCGAATTGAATTTAACTCAAACTTAAACCAATAAAAACATCTAAATATTAGTTCTGAAGTAGTTCTTATCGTAATAACCAAAGTAAGTTTGACGTAAAACTAGCTCTACGCAACCAATTTATACCAATCGAGACCACATATAACTTAGACAGAAGTGATGTAGCCTGATATGAGTACACGGGTTAAAAGCAAAGAATTGAGCAATATTTGAGGAAATAAGAAGAAAAATTAAAAACTGAAATGTGCTACTGTAAAAGAGGAAAGATTGTAATTGTTGGTATTTTTTAGTGTTAATTTTGTTTGTTTTTGTAATGTAGTGTATGTGAACATGGGATATGTATTTTGTAGTGGTGGATGAAAGTGTTCATGTTGTTTTGGCCAAGTAATGAAACCTACGTTCCACTGTTATGCCAAATTATGCCAAATTATGTGTCCATAATACAAGCCTTCACATTACTTGCCAAAATTTAAAAAAAAAAGTTGACAATAGTTTTGCTTGTTTTTATTGATTCTCACCCTATACATAATTCAAGCATCATTATTACCACATATATAACCAACTTGAGGCTTCAACCAGATATTGTTCATGCTCCAAAAATCAATATACCAGACATATACGTACCAAACATTTACACATACAACAAACTAAGCATTAGATATGAACTGTATTAACCAACAATGCATCCCACATTCACATAGGTGTCAACAAAGACATATACATATCCTATAAAAGCTTGTCAAACATCATATAGCCACAAACTACAAGTCAGTTTAATATAAACTTTATGAGTATTGTGCGTAGCTGAAGGCTCTATTATACTATACAGGAGGAGATTGTGTGAGAGAGAAGCGGCTTTGGACTCTGAGTTTACCTTTGGCTAGAAACGATGCAGCGAGAGGGAGAGGGGAGTAAAGTGTTAGCCTGAAAAAGAAGCGAATGGGACTGAGCCATATAGTATTACAGAAACCCTAGGTCACTTCTGTCAATGCACAGAGGACAAAGACTGTTCCCCACGGCCCCCCCCCCCCCCCCCTCCAGTGGACTCCCTCTCCCTCTCATAAGCTTCCTCTGTCTTTTTGGAAATATGCCTTCATAGTTATTGAGCTTATGAAAGTATTCCAGAAAAAAAATTATTTTCTGAATTGAAAATAAAGTTATATTAAAGTAACCATACGCACAAGCTGGGTTAGTCGTTCCATCTTGCCTTTAAGCTCCGCCATCTCACGAAGCACATCAGGAGGAGTAGCGAAGGTCGGAGTGGAGGAAGTCTTCAAATAAAATCTAGTGACATCGTGACCCAAACCTCTCTCATAACCACCATTATGCCCTTCATGTACATCATCTATGACCGTGGTCATTGCAGTAGATTTGGGTTCTCGGTCGATCTCTAATGATTTGTCCCTTTCTATCACCCGAGCCTACACCACATAAAGTATTCAAATATTAAGTCAACAATATTATTATAAACATATTCAAGAAAATTATTTCAATTAGTCAAAAACAAAACACTTACACAATACTCCTGAGTTTGGGTGTCGGGATATGTACATGAATATGTATCAGCTACTGGATCGACTAACGTCACGTGGGTACCCAAATACTCCTTTAATGCACTTGAGCTACCACCCGATTCTTCGATCCGAGCTCTCTGTAGTTCACCAAAACATAAATTTGTATAAGATATCATATCATAAATCAATAAATGCATTTTTTAAAACTCTTAAGAATTAATTTTACCACTCTCTGTTTTGCCTAGACTATGTTCCTCGAGCCACCCGTATAGGTTGGTCGACCTCGCTTCTTTGACTGCCGATTATCTTTATTTCTTTTTACCTCCGCCTGTACAAAAATATAAGATTTAGATTGTGATCCAAAAATAAGTACATGCTAATCATTGAATTATTTGTTAACCATATACCTGCTTCCTATTAGAAGAAAAAAACTTACAGATGTCGTCCTACCATTTTTTATCGATCCTTTTGAACACCTCTGTCTTGAAAAGATCATCTCTTTTCTCTTGGGGAGTTTCCAGCCATAGTTCATAACACTCATTCTTCACCTGATTTTGATTGCCTCAGACTCTCTCCTGCATCTTTATCTTCACACCTCGATGTATAGCAGGAAGATTAAGAGGACAATAAGGATCTACAGGAAGAAACTCATAATCTTTCTGCATATTTAACAAAAAAACATTAAACACTTTACATGAATTCATGTACAAATATCTAAAGAGTCTAGTTCGTGGTCAGTGACGTATACATGAGAATTGAATAAAATCTTGCTAGTTTTACGAGGACAAAAATAGATTAAAAATGTATTTAAACCTGGGCTTGGAGAAAGAACTTATCAAATGAATGCTCATGATCCGGGCCCCAGTTCTTATAAAGTGGGAAGTCCATGTATTGACGGCTCACTTGCCACATACTATCCAAATCTCTCAGCATTGGGGCCTGTGATACGAAAATACTCATCAAAGTGCAAGAGGAATGCTGGTTCATTCTTCTCAGGATCGGGCCTTAATTGATTGGCTTTATTTGTCTTTCCAATACGACAATTCAAAGAAAATAATTTTTTGTTCCATCCTTGTGACCTTTACTGTCTTTCCTTTACTTTCCCGAAAGTTACATTTCCGTAAACATTCCACTGAGTAAGTATGTCCTTTTTGGATAAGGGGGCTGGAGCCTTTCTATGCTCTGTAGTACCATCAAAGTGAACAACATCATCTCTATTGGGATGATTTTCTTCCAACATACATCGATAACCGTAATAACAAATCTTTTTGCTAAAGGGCAACCATGCTGATGATGTATCGGCATGACAGTAAGGACATGCTTTATAACCATGTACAGAATAACCTGATAGCATTCCATATGCAGGAAAGTCGTTAATTGTCCACATTAAGGCTGCACGCATTGTGAATGTTTCCCCTTTGTCTGCATCATATGTCTTTACACCATCAATGAATAAAGACAGTAACTCATCGATGAGAGGTCGAAGGTAGACGTCGATATTGTTACCCGGTGAACTCGGCCTATCAATAAGAAGAGGCATTAGAAAGTATGATTGATCCATCGCTAACCACAGTGAAAGATTATATATCATCATTATAACAGATCATGTACTGTGCGGATTGCCATTAAAACTAAAGTGGCAGAAACCATCGCTAGCTAGTCCGAGCCTAATATTATGGGGATCCTGACTAAATGTTGTGTGCAACTTGTCAAAATCCTTCCATGCTGGCAAATCTCTTGGATGAATCATTTTACCATCTTCACTTGGAATAGCACGGTCATGCCAGGTCATTGCCACCACTGTCTTCTTACACCTGTAGAGCCTCTGTAGCCTCTGTGTCACAGGAAAGTATCGTACCACCTTGACAGGTATGTCTTTTTTGTTAGCATGTGCTTTCTTCTTATATCTAGAAACTCCACAATTAGGGCACTCTTTCAGTTTAGAATTTTCTTTCCAGAACATCACACAATCATTAGGACATGCATGAATCTTCTCACAATTCAAACCCAGATCAGACATTATCCTTTTAGCTACATACCAGCTCTGAGGCACATTGTTTCCCGGAGGAATTGAATATTTCAAGAATTTTAGAAGCATCGTAAATGACTTGTTGTTCCATTTATTTAGGCATTTAATCTGGAAAAGTTGAACGAACCATGATAGTGTGGAATATTTTGCATTCTCATAAATTGGTCTATTGGCATCTTTCATGTACTTCTCATACACATCTACATGTTCTTGTTCGGAAGGATGATCATCTTCAGTAAGATTAGAGCCACCAAAAGTAACTTCTACCATTTCCTCCATCTCCTCTTCTGGAAATAAATTTTCTTTATTCTTCTTCATTATCGACAATATTAGGAGCTAGGATTTCTCCGTGATATACCCAAATTGTATAATCCCTAATAAAACCATGCTTAACAATGTCAAGTTCTACATCTTCCTCCTTACGATGCAACCTATTCCCACAGTGACTGCATGGACAAAGGATCATCCCATATTGGATCCTATCGTGTTCACGTACAAATTTTATGAAAGAAGCAACTCCTTCAATGAATTCAGGCTTTGTGCGTTTTTCACGATTCACATACATCCAATCCTTAACTCTGATATAGTCACATGCCATACCAACCTAAATAAGTCAAAGTTAGCGATAAAAACTCTATGAATTATACATGCTTGCATTAAAGGACAAAATCGGTAATCATCAAATAGCAAATTGAGGATATAATCATAATAGAGATATTATAAGTTAAAGTTTGGAACATTTTTCTCATCAAAAAGTAATTGATACATTATCTATGCAAGCATATATTATGAACATGCATTTTGTACGTTCATTAATATCCAAGTTAAAAGCATCAATTAACAATTAAATATTCTCTAAATGATTTCACCACTTGTTCACATGTCGTTAAACCTAAGATGAAACAATTCCTTAATAAGTGGTCCTAGTCCACTAGACAAAAACAACATACGGAAGAAGGGTTTAATATCTGCAATTTTGTGGGGTTTAATGTTTTCGGAGAAACTCTAAAATCAAGGAAAGTCCATGATAACAGAACAATAAAATATGAGAAACTAGGCATTAAATTCTCTACTTTTACAAATAAACTTCTGTCAAAAAACAAAAACAGGAAAAGGAAAATCATCGTATAGCCATACATAAGGTAACTACATGAAAAGAAAAATAGTCAATGTCCTAAAATTAAGAAAGCAAACTAGCACTATGAAGGGTCTTACAAACCTATCCACAGAGCAAACTAGAAATGATGCACACAAAGGTAAAAGTAAAAACAAGAACCATACAATTTACCTTCTAATAACTACAGCTAGATTTGCATTTGCTCAATCCGTTTCAAGTGAATCACATGAAGATGCTTTATATATTTTGTATAACAGATTAAAAATATGGCACGATCAAAATAAAGATAAACAAGTTTCAAGAAAGTAAATTGTACAACTTAGCTTAGCAGGACTTTGCAAAGCACACGGACCCGGATAATTTAATTTACAATGGATTGCAACCGACAAATATCATTCATAAAATGCAATACCAATTCACAATAACTAAATTTAGCTTAACATAAACTCTTGACATCACATCACATAATTGTAATTCAATGTAAAAAAAGATCCTCAAGCATAGTACAATGTTAATTATGAATAACCATGCAGATACATAAATAGAAGGTTGTGGCATCACTTTTTGTTGAATATAAGATGCAAAACATAATCTCCTAGCTTATTATGCACATGAAATCCTTCCTATCATCAAAATATTAAAGCACATCAAAATTAGTCTAATTTCATAATCACCAAAATCTAAAATTTCCTACCAAATACCTCTTAGAAATTAAATGATAACAATTGGCCAATTAAAAATTAGCAACTCGATATAGACATTAGTGTAGGCGTCTAAAATTGCCTACAAGGTTCTCGTACGCAGCTCGAGGCAAAATACAAACGATAAGCATCATCATTCAAGTCAGAAAAGGATTATCCGGTCCCATGGAAGCTAACGAATATACAAAGTGAGTCACTGGAGTGTACAAGTCAACGGAATGACGAAATGCGCAATACAAGTCCGGAGAAGTCAGAAAGTGTCAAACACCTCAAAGTAGCCAGCACAAAGGATTGATATTTTGACCATGATACAAATTGGATATGGAAAAATTCAAAAGATAAAAGTTGAAGGTCTCTTCATCAGCTTTTCAACGCATCTTGAATCACTTTATTCCGAGGTCGGATGAGTGAGTTAAGGCGGCTATAGTAACTCCAGGATACTCAAATCCGACCCGCGCTGCAGTAATCCAACCCGACGCTCAAATCCGACCCGTGCTATAGTATTCCGACCCACTCTACAGTAATCTGACCCCGCGCTACAGTGCTTCGACCCGCGCTATAGTAATCCGACCCGTGCCAACGCGGGACGGATCCGTCGGTTGCGCTGTTTTAATCCCCTGATGCGTTTTCGACGGTTTTGAGCGATTTTCTCGAGATTTATCTATTCTAGGGGTTTCTAACTACCTAAATCCTATCTCTAAATATGATTAATCAGTTATTAATTGAAGATAAGAAGGAATCCCTCATTCTTATCCGAAAATCCTCCCAACCGAAGCCTATAAATACAAGCCTAGGGGTTCAATTCATGGGGGCGGAATTTTATCAAAATGAGGAGGTGCTGTCGAGTTGGAGAGCAAGAGAGCACGAATTTCAGAGGAGGCTACTTGATCTCGACGAAGTTCTTCAGCATAAAGAGGGAGAGTTCGAGAGATCTGAAGCCCCGTCTGTCCGTTCCTTGAGATTAGGCTTGGTCTTAATCTCGAGAAGAGCTACTGATTTCGCTTGGTCGATTTCAGAGCTTCAAATCAAATACTTTCTCAACGAAGGCAAAGCTCTACCGAATTTTTCATCAACCGGATCTGATCCGTAGGCGGTCCACGGATAAACCCCGACACAGACAAAGATCCCGCGAAAGCAGAAGACCGATAAACGATCTCTCTGCGTTTGTTTGAAAAAGTTGTAAACTTTTTATTTTCATTGTGTAAGGAGATTTTATAAAAAGATTAACTTTCTATTTTTATTCGAGTTTATTATAATGACCAAAGTTGTAATAGATTCAATGACAATGAAAGCAACTTTTGACCAAAACAATTAGCTTGAAATTAACACAGTTATGCATTGCCTTAAATTTCAAATACAAGTATCTTGAGACCTAGATCCATTTTGTCCACAAATTATTCATGAGCCACTCTCACAGATGTGTAGATACAATAATAATCCACAAGATGCATACATCTCATCAACCATGACCAGTAACAAATAGCAGGAAAGGATAGACCATGATTTTTTTTAATTAACAAAGAACACAAGAAAACTCAAGCTAGATCTACAGAATCCAAATCTAACAATGGATTTAGAAAAGCTAAGGCTGAAGTTTCCATTTATCTTTCGCCCAATACTTCTCATATCAACTAATTATTGATATGAATCTTCAAACAAACAATAGATTTTGCCAATTTAAGTAAGCTGAAAGGTCAAGGTACCAAACCTAATTGACGGGACTTAGCGGCGAACTGCAGGCTCGACGGTGACGACAAACTTTAGGGCTCGACAGCGGCGGGGAAAATCAGGGCTCGACGGCGGCGGCGAACTCCGACGGCAGCGGCAAGTTAAGAGTTATTTTTTTGAGGGGGACTCGCTCAGATGAACTCTAGCGACCGGCATGTCAGTGAACTTTCACCGGCTCGGACAGCGACGGTGAACGTCACGGGTCTCGAACGGACCGTGGCGGGCCCAACTCACGCGCACACGGCGGTGGGAACTACACGGCCGCTCGGGTGGGGAACTCCACAGCTCGGACGACCATTCGAGTTGCGAGAACTAGTGTTCATTTGATCGCCGATTTTATGATGAGAGAGAACGGGGACGGCGGTGGGGAACTTCAATGCTCGACGGCGAGGGCGAACGGGGGTTAATTTGAGGCCGATTTTATGATGAGAGAGAACGGGGGTTTTGGGATTTTTTTCTCCTTTTCGCGAAAATAAATGGGGGGAATTTCCCTCCCTCGCGTGTATAGTGTAAATTAACTTGTCCCAATGGTTTAAACTGTTGGGGCTGGTGAAACCAACCCTAACTGTTCCAACGGGTCACCAGCCCCAACTGTTCCATCCATTCGTTGGGGCTGGACCTCCCTTTACTAGTGTTCCTATCAGATAATATTTTAAATTCTAAATCTCCTCTTCGCTCAAAAACTCTGATGAAACCTCACATTGGTCTCTTAATCTCTCATGTTTTAAAATTAATCTCTCAAATCATTGAAATTGCTACTACTCCCTCGGGTCATATTAATTATTCCAATTAGTCCCTATGATTAGCTACCGTTCTATTTAGGGTGAATATTCCATGTAAACTTTTTGACATGGGTTCCAAGTTACACGGCCCTCTGTTTAAGTTGGTCCAAACCCAAACGTCATTTCTTTAAACCCGTTTGAACTAAAAACATAAGTTTCCAAACCCATTTGGTGCATGAATGAATAAAAAACATAGTTTCCAGACACATTAAATATGTAATTTTACACTTGTTTCGTTAAACTTTTTGAGAGTTTTTGGTGGGATGACTAATGAAGGGTAGTGATGCAATTCACCACGTGTGGTTAAAATTAACGCGAGCTAGAATTAACTAATAGGATTTGAGGGACTAAATAGCAATTTCAATGATTTAAGGAGCTAAATTCAAGTTATTAAAGATTTGAAGGAACCAATATGGGGGAAAAACCTAACAATTGAAGTCTGAGAGATTCTCTTATAAGACTGTGCAAACGGGCATGACGTCAGAACACAGGGAATGGGCTTCAACTAAAGGAATGTATTTATGGTTAATTTAACTTGCATCGTACAACTTCAGAGCATTAACTACAATCTTTCAGTTTGTACGTGCAAGACCAGTTATATATTTTTGTTGAGAGCCAAAAGCCCATGCTGCAGGATCAGTATAAAATTTAGAAATTTCTGGCCCCTTTTTTGTAGATAGCACTTAAATGGCTGAAATTTTGAATTAAAAAACTCACAGTCTAATCATGTCGCTGGAGTTCAGATGGTTTGTGGAGGTGCAGAAAAATGTCCGGATCCAATAAAATATTTGTATCTATATATGTTAGAATACGGTTATAATTATAAATATCTATATCTAAATATGGTTATGAATACGGATATCTAGTGAAATATCTAGATCCGTATTCAGAATTTCTAAATATATGTTGGTGATACTACTATAATAGTTTCAATTCTTAGATTAATAGATTTGCTTTAATTTTAAAGATCAAGAGATCTAATATTTGCCTTTTCAGATATAGCGAGTATATTAATGAACTCTCTTGTTTCGTATGAACTATATTTTTCTAGTATTATCTAGTTTTCTCATAACCATTTTGTATCCGCGTGTGTATCCACTTGTATATGAAATTACCCTAGAGGGGGATGAATAGGGTAATCAAACAATAAATGTGCAATTAATAAATTTCAATGCAATACAAGACACAATTAAGAACAATGGCAACAAATAAGAGAGAGTAAGAGAATAGTTAGCCAATTTGTACGCCGATCGATGTGTTCACGATGTTCGGTCCTCATGACCTACGTTCCCAACCACCTCTCCCGATGGCAATTCATTAAACACACCCAGTTTGAAAACTGGAACTTCTTCACAACGATAACCCCCAAGATCTCACAAATACACAATTTGATCTCCTCGAGATCAAGCTATCAACACAGTAGAATAAGAGGGAAAAATCTCTCTTACAACACCACTATAGCAAGGATTAAGAGATTGCAAATGAAGCTTGGGGTTGTGGGTATTGAATGTGTAAATCCGAAATTGGAAGAATGAGAGTTTAAGCTCAAAACACACAATAAACACAAACTCAAAGAATTTTTCTTGCTTGTTTGCTTACTAAAGTGAAGAGGGCAAATATGTATATATAGGAACCCTAAACAATAGCCCAACTCCCAAACAAAATCCAAAATCCCAAAAATTCAGCTGAAACCAAAACTAGTCGTTACAGTGCCATCAATCGACTGATGAGCTGACCGTTATAGGCAACTCAACCTTCATCGGTCGACTGATGGTTCATCAGTCGACTGAGCAGAAACTTTCTGCACTTTCTAGGTAGTTTCTTCAGTCGACTGATAACACTGTTCAGTCGACTGATAACATGAACATAGTCTGTTTAAAAATAAAAAATTGATTTTTGAAGCGCCTTTAAAAATAATAAATAAATTCTAAAAAATGTCAAACTTTGGGAACTGTTTATAAACATGTTAGAAAAGGAATTTTTGAAAAATTATTTCCCAAATGTAAATACTTATCATTTTTCAAAATTGGTCAAAAACATGATTTTAAAAGTGTGTGTGTGTGTGAACCCCAATTGCTTCAAATGTTTTCTACTTTGTTTCTTACCTACATTATGATCTAGAGAGAAAGTAAAAAAAAAAATACAAATATCGCTCACATATGTATACAACTCTTGAGGCTTGATATTTGCTAATTTGTTGATGAAGCTCCTCTTGTATATGTTGCTTTTTAAATAGCTTTTCTTCATCAACTTGCATCCACCTCCTTGGATATCATCGTTACGGTGCAAGTTCCATCTATCCTCCAACAGTGGCAATAAATTGCTTGACAAAATACATCCTGTATTATATCACTTAACAAATAATTAGTACCGGTTTGTAAATCATCATCAAAACACGAGACCTAACAGTATATTCACATGTATATTCATATTAGATTTAACGATTATAACAAACATAACAATGAACTCTCTTGCACCATATAAACTATATTTTTCCAGTATTATCTAGTTTTATCATATCCAATTTGTATCTATGTGTATATCCACTTATATATTTACATGTATATCTATATCAGATTTTAGCTATAGATATAAAATTTTCTTATCAAGACATATCTATATTTTTGTGTCCAAATCTATAATTGGCAAACAGATACAGATATGATATGTATCATATTTGTGAGTCATATCCGGTTTTAGTGAATATGCTTGTCAATCTTATAAAATTGACGAGCCCAATAAATTTTCATGTGCCTTGTCTATGATATTTGTATACAATCTCATACATGAAAGCAATTAATAATAATATTAGACTACCAGAATGTGTTTGGTAACCTTAAACAAAACTTCATAGAAAGGAAGAGCAATAATAATACTATTAGGATGTGTTGGTTATTTATGAGATAAATATCTAAATAAGTGGGTGGATAATGTCTTATCTTAGAGATAAGATATTTATAATCCTAATGATTATAGTATTCTATCTTTAAGCCCTTTATATATAGATATAGGGCTTTCATGATGGGTGTGTGACGTCCCTGGGTTCATACGAGGCTGCAGTCCAAGGTGAAACCAAGAATGTCAAACCTGCTATGCACCACACTGTGCAATAACATGTTTCACCATCACAATTAACATCTATCTAGTAGAATCAACAACTGGTGTAGGTACAAAACAGGTAAGAGATAATACAAGGAATACTGAGGAAAATGATAATAGTCACATAAATATCTCATCATCCAACGATACAGAAATACATAGTCAAGATCTGAGTAGATAAACTGAAATACTCAACAAGTCTCAAATACAAATATCTGACGATAAAGTGATAAGGCTCACAGCCTTTACAATTTCTAGAATAATACCCTCAAATGTCTAACCTCACTACAGTGGAGCCCAAAGAAAAATAATACATAACTAGAAAGTAAAGCTGAACACTAATGTGGTCCGCTATCAACCTGCGGCTCTCCGTGCTCCTGGCTCGTGACCTGAAAGGGGGAGGGACAACGAGCGTTAAAGCGCTAGCGAGTAACATCACAACCAACCCCAAGGGAAAAGGGCTCGTTGTATAAGAAAAATACAGATAATATATATAATGGATCTAAAATCATTGATCCTACTAAAGAGAGTTTTAGTGTTTAGAAATTTACAACACGAGCATAGGTACGTCGAGCGAAATAATCCAAACAAGGAAACCCTCATGTATATACCTTGTATCTCAAATCGTAAATCTCTAAACACCAAACTCGTGGTTCTAGTACAGAAACAATAAATCAAGAAATACAGCAAATCTCAGAACAAATTACTCAGTGCCATACCATGACTAACATGAATGTCATATTATTACTTGCATGAGTGTCATGTCAACATCATGTCGTGAACTTCTGTGAAGAAGTCATATGCAGAGTTAAGAATTATGCCCAAATCAGGAACTATTTATGTCGTAGTTTCCAAACTCATAGATTAAGTGGCAAATGTCCAACACGAGGACTGGAATGAATTTATAGTCCAACACGAGGACTTCCATGGATTATAGTCCAACACGAGGACTTCTATGGATTATAGTCCAACACGAGGACGGTGAAATGGTGAAAATATCGCTGAGATACATAGTGAAAATGTCCAACACGAGGACTAGAATGAATTTATAGTCCAACACGAGGACTTCTATGGATTATAGTCCAACACGAGGACTTCTATGGGTTATAGTCCAACACGAGGACTAAGGCATAGTAAAATACCGCTATGATGTATATAGTGACTAAATACCAAGGTCAGATAGTCCAGGAAAAACCCTCGAACATGAGTAAAACACCCAAAAATATCCAGAACAGGAAAACACAACAGACAGTGGGCGGTCGACCGC